TTGTGTTAAGAAAGTTGTCAAATAATCCTCATACTTAATTACACATCAATACACCATTATCTTTTTTTTTTCTCTCTCTCTCTCTCCTCTCTATCATTTATTAAGACTAAAGTTAATGAAGTAAATTTATTAGATAAATTAAATAGATTTTATTTATTAGATAAAATTTATTGGTGTTTGGCTTCCCCATGACATTCGGGGGTGTCTTATCTTCGTAGAATATTAGTTTAATCGCTTAGGCCTTTGGCCTCCTTCGTTGTAAAAAAAAAAAAAAAAGGAAAATTAAAGCCTCCCTCGCTCATAATTAGTACTTTGTGTGGCCAATTTCTTAATTCTTTACCCGATTTATTTATTTATTCCCAAAGCCTAAAATTAAGGCACCCTGGCTAGCTAGTAACTAGTTTGATTATTTGATCTCCCTATATATATATAGGGATCCGCTCCCATGAGAATAGTTCTCAACGAAAGAAGTGAGAATAAATCTCATCCATCAGATTTTATGATCCAACGGATTAAAAAAAACAGCATTTATACATTTATTAAGGGTATATTAGGCATTTTATACAATAATCAACCAATCAATGGCTCCACCAGCAATTAAAACGTCAGCACATTTTCTCTCACCCACTCCCGTCAAATTAACCCACCCACTCCTCTCTCTCTCTCTCTCTCTCTCTCTCTCTCTCTCTCTCTCTCTCTCTCTCTCTCCCCACCCCTCTCTCTCTCTCACCCACTAAAACACACACACACACTCCTATCGTACATAAACGCACAGACAAACACACACACGGCTTGACCAGGCTCACCACCTGCCACCACGCAGCGCCGCAGCCACCGAGACGTCCTCCGCCGGCACCGACGCAGACGCCGAGAACGTGAACGCCGTCATCGAAGATTTTTTTCAATAGTCGCAGCTCCATCCCGGAGTCGCCGGCGACCGAGAACAGGAAAGGTGTGCCGCCGCTTATTTTATCCGCCGGAACCGCCGCTAAATTCCAACGTCGCCGTTTCCCGAGAAGACGAACGTCGTCGAAGCTGATTCTTTACGTCCGCCGGCCCCACGGCTGAATTCCGACGTCGATAAAGTAGTCTCCTCCGGCAACATCCACCGGAGAAGGTCGTATGCGGCGGCACGACCTCTCGTACGGGCGGTTCACACGGCAAAGGCGGGCCGAAATGGAAGGACAGGCGTGAATAGTGTTTTTTGGATTTAGGGGCTGTTTGTTGAGAATTTAATGTTTAATAGGGATTTAATGGCAATTTTGATTCTTGTTTTATTTCAATTTCGCCAATGGGCAAAATTTGTAATTTATATAAGATACATAAAACATTTTTTTTTTATACTTATATATATTAAATTTTTTAAACAACAAATAATATAAAAAT